ACGGCATATTCTTTGATACATATTAAAATAATAATATTGTAAATTAATTATAATATAGTAAAGCAGCTGGACTATAACTATTTTTCTCCTTCAGCTAGTGCTAATGTTATTCGACAGCTGGGAGCGAACCAGCATCTTCAGTAGACCGGACTGATGTGTTAGCCGGTACACCACGCCGCCTATTGCACAGCCTTAGGAATTAGATAGTTAGGTATATGCTTTACAATATTTACATATTTAAATTAAAAATAATAAATCGGTATTTATTTTTTCTTTAAATAATTTTTTAAATAATTAAATATCTTCCAGACATTTAAAATAATTTTTTAAAAATTTCTTCACTTTCTCAATAATATTCTTTCATTTACTTTTAATAAACTTTAATAACTTCAATTTCAATTTTATTATTAATTAATTCATTAATTAAATTTTTTCCATTTATTTTCACAAAATTCATTATTTTTGTATTATTATTGTTAATTCCAAAATCTTTATTTAAATCAACAAATATCTCATCAAAATCTTCCAAATTAGTAATTATTCCTTCCAATTTATTTTCCAAAATTTTATGGTGAAAATTAAATTTAAGAGACAAAGCTTTGTAAATTTCTAAAATTCCTCTCAGTTGGAATATTGTTATTAAACGATGTTTTAATTCTTCAAATGGAATTGAATTCTTTAATTTTTCTTTAAAAAATAAATTTTCAGCCAATCTTTTTCCGTCTTTTTTCAAAATTTCTAACCAAGTCTTTCCACCAGTTTCGAATGTTTTCCATTTTTTATTATTTTCATATTTTTTTATAAGGTACTTATAAAAATTTAAAATTTCTTTATCATTTTTATTTTTAAAAATTGCTGTTATAACATTATATTTATATTTTATGCAAATATATTTATATATTCTATTTATAAAAATTTTTAGATTATGCATAAATATTTTTGCTTCTTTTATTCCAAATTGAAGAGTAAACTTTTCTAAAAATTGTGATAAATTATTTGAATATAAATAATATATATTGACCAACAAAATATGGCAAACAATATATTGGCTGTCCGGATATCAGGGGTATATTTCAAGAAGCTATAATAGAGGTGGAACCCCCCGATATAAAGTATACTAAATGCGGTGGGTCAATACCCCAAAATAATGGAACAAGGCAGGAGATTGCCTGGACTTTCCAAGAGGAACCTACGGGTTGATCAGGCCCCGGTTAATCTCCTGCACCAGACACACACTTGAACATTAAATATTTATTAAATCCAAATAATATTAAAGCTTTATTAAAACATTTATTTAACTGAATAGGCAATAAGAAAATTTAAGTTGACTGAAAATCCTTTTAAACGTGTGGGAAAAGTTGGAGGAATTAGAATAACAATATTTAGTACCTAGATAAAACTATAGGAAACATAAACTCTAGGACATATTTCCGACTTACACTATATTGACTTAAAATTTTAACTAACCTTGTTTTTCAATATTTTCATAACATTCTCTAATTTGCTTAATTAAATTTTCATATTCTTCATGTTTATTTATTTTCCTCATTAATTCCATTTTTCTTATTTTTAAATTAATTTCTTGCCAATTATTTTCTAAATTCCATTCTTCATAAAATTCTATTTTTTCTTTAATATTATTTAAATATTTTTTGTTTGAATTAATCAGTATTTTATTTTTAACTTCTTTCGGAAAATTTTCATAATCAGAATATTTAATTATCTCCAATTTTGGCATATTTAACTGATTAGACAAAATAGATGTTTTATATTGTTCGTTTATTGTTTTATTAATATATTTAAGTTCGCTTAGTTTACGTTTCATCATCTAAAAATGTAAACGCAAATATTTAATTTATAAATAGGTACGGGGTTGTCGGTGTACGGGGTTTGCTTCGGGACGTGGTTCGGGTCTGGAAGCAAAACACAATCGGGGTTCTAGTCGGGGTTAAAGGGAAAATTTTTTTCAAGAATAAAGTTCGAAAAATAATAATTTTAAAGACATCTATAATATATTCTTTAAAGAGAATATAGACGCCCTGTTTTCCGTTGATTTTCAGGTTTACAGATCCCGATGATGGAACTGTATTAAAACTTCGTTTCTTTATCATTTTCTATTTATATTAATAGAAACAGGAATTTTTCTTGATTTTTCAGACCACTCCTAATCTCAAAAATTTAAAATGTGCCATCTTTTTGTTAAACTGCTAAAACGGTTATTATTTTATAAAAACTTCACGAACAAATTTTTTTCGCGCGGTTTAGCTTATCCGTATTTTATTCATGAAAACCATTTACAAAAAATTTTTAACTGAAATGGACCCTTTTCCATTGAGTTATGTCGAAAAAACATGATGTGCCATCTTTTTGTTATGCAGTGTACATAGGTATTTTCGTTACTTTATGCAAAAATTAGGGGGGATAATGAGAGATTAAAGGGATATAAGGGACTTTGGAGTATTTCCGGCTTTTCTGATTTTCGAAATTTCTATATTTCCAACACAACAAAAAATTATTTACATGATTTGTAGCTCTCGGAATAATACTTTTTAAAATAACATTATTGGGTATTTCTATAAATAATTCAACATTTTCATATTTTATATTTTTATGAACAACTTTTTTTTCATTAATTATATTTAATTTATTAGGTAAATCTTTAAATAAAAAATTATTTTTATTTTTTTCAATTCCTCTAATTCCTTTAATTTCTTTATTTCCTTCTTTTAATTTATACCACAAAAAACATTTTAAATTTTGATTTTTTGATAAATAATTAAATTGACGTGATTCTTGATAATCATCGCTAATTATTAATTCAACATCTAATGTACAACATTTAATAATAAATAAAAATAAAATAAATAAACTTTGAATTAATAAATAATTTTTAGTCATTTCTGTAATTAAATATATTTATTTTTAAATTTTATAATATAAGTAAGGGTTATTAACCCCATGTTATTAACCCCAAGGATTATTAACCCCATGTTTCGGGTTTCGCCGGGCTTCGACCCCCAGTTTACGGTTCCGGTTCTGTTAACAGACCGTGAACAACAGGGGTGTGCGAGTTTCGCGTTTCGCCTTCGCGTTTCACTTTTTAAAATCCGTTTCGGCACACCCCTGATGAACAACTCTATTTATAATCTTTTATGTAGAGGCACAAAAATAGAACATAAGTAATTTGGAGGGTAAAAGGAAAAATTAGGACTACATATCATGATTATGTCTCGTTTTCATTAGGAATTATTAATTCGTAAATTAAACAAAACTTTGGCAATCACACATTTGAAAACGGGAGTCTATGATTTATGAAGATTAAATTTGAATTTAATCTCATTATCTTAAATTTGAATAAAGTTATTCCTAAAATAAGCTGCCCGGTTAAATTTAAAAATTTTGACAAAAAATTTTAAGAAAGGGGTATTCAAAGATACATATTATTTCTAAATAAAATTACAATAAAATAAATATAAAAATATATTTATTTAAATTTATTTTTAAAATGTCCGAATAAAAGGCACTTGTTATTAATTTACATTAAATAATTTGCCGCCTTTCCTCGACTATTTATTTAATTAATAAAAGTGCAAATAATAAATTTAGCCTGTTTTTATTTTTTAAATTTTATTTTTTAATATTATGAAATATGTAATTATTTTATAATAATTAAGGCGGAATAAACGGAGGGATAAAAGAAATTCATACATTAAAGCAGTGTTGCGCCCCCCCCCCCCCCAACGTCTATTTTAATTAACAAATGTAACAGTAAAATCAATTTTCACGTGATTTTAATTTTTTAAATTATGAAATAAAATTTAAAAATAATTTATTAAAAATTTAATTACCGTATAACCTGTATTAATTGCCCTCCCTCAAATAATTATCCCACTTCCATTAATTACCCCATCAAGCAATAGATTGAAACAATAATTACCCCCAAACAAATGCCCTAAATCACGTTCAAATTTCCAACCTCGTATAATTACCCTCCCTCGATTAATTACTCCCTCCAGCGGAAGGACGAAACAATAATCACGCAGGGTAGTTATTAAAGGATATACGGTAATTAAAGGGTATTAATTTTATACTGTATTAATTTTTCATGAAAATGAAAATTGGCCGAGATAATCCGGATCTACCGGATATACCAAATCCCATATCCTCGGAAAAATTTTTCGGAAAAAATTTAGCAAGCCCATTTGAAAAAGCATATTTTTGTGAGTATTTAACACAAACCCGCTTAGAAATATCTTTTCCGGACCAGAGATATGATTTTTTAAATGCCATTTTTCGCCTATTTTAGCAAAAAATTCAATTTTTAAGGGAAAAATGCCATTTTCAAAAAATCATCTCTGATCAGAAAAAGATATATATAAAAAGAAAAAAATATACAAGGTTTTGTGGTAAATACTCACAAAAATATGCTTTATCAAATGGGTTTGCTTGATTTTTTCCGAAAAATTTTTCCGAGGATATGGGATTTGGCATATCCGTTAGATCCGGATTATCTCGGCCAATTTTCATTTTCATAAAAAATACAGAAACATGTCAACTGTGATACAAATAGAGCTTTCGATTGCTATATACATAGAACGTATTTTTTGAATAAAAATTAAGGATTAGAAAAATATTTTATACTGAGTCTAAACTTATGCCAGTACAGTATATAGTAGAAGAATTAAATAAAATTTATTTAAAAATATTTAATTTAAATTTTTAAATTTAAAATGCTTAAATAATACATAAGCACTTATGATTTTGCACTTTCGATTACCTAAATTAATACATGATTATGTAAACATCAAAGCAGAGTTGCCCACCCCCCCCCCCCTCCGTCTATTTTAATTAATGAATGTAAAAAATTAATTTTCACGTGTTTTTAATTTTTTTAAATTATGAAATAAAATTTAAGTAATAATTTATTAAAAATATTAATTATTTAAAGAGGAATTAATGGAAACTTTTTTGAAAATTTTTTAAAAATTTTAAATTAAAAATTATATTTTATAATACAAAAATTGGATAAAAAAACAAAAAATAAATATTAAAATTAATTTAATTTTAATTATTTGAGAATTATTTGATGAACGAAAATGTCTTTCCAAAAGTTTTGATTCTTCCATTTGCCTTCTTTGTTGTTCTTCTTTAAAATTTGTTTTTTCTTTTTTTGGCCTTTCTTCCTAAAAAGATTAACAAATAAATTTATAGCAAGAGCAAGGTAAAAGTTTAATCCAAGGCAGGTTTCGATCCTGCAACCTCCTGGCAGTTATTGTTAGATGCTTTCGCTTTTACCTTCTCTTTCAATAGATCTTAAACCCCCGCCTAGTGAAGGGGGAGGCTGGATCCAGCTGGATCCTTCTCTTCCTTACAATATTTATTTTAATTAAAAAATGCTTCCAAAGTTTTTTAGGAAGTTTGAATAAAAAACGATTTTTCAAAAGCTATCATTATTCGTGGCTTGAGAAAGCCACATATCATTCTAAAAAATTAAAAAATTACCAGCATTAATTCACATAATTCTCTAGCTCTAAAAATATATTTTAAATTTGTTTTTCGTTTTTCTTCAATTGAAGTTGTATTAATTAAAGTTGTTGTATGTCCAACACGAATAAAAGGAAATACACAAAATTCAACACATTTAAGATGATTTAAAGCATTCCAATAATTAAGCATTCCAGGATGGATTCGTTTTAAATCAAAACTTAAAACAAATAAAAATTCTTTCACAAATATTAAATCTATACCTAAGAACAGTTCCTTTATTAGGTACTTGCTGTGCTGGTGGTTTGACTGTTCCACGAGCACATCTCAATTCAGCCACGATTAATGTGTTGATCTAAATTGTTTAAATTAATTAAATATCTAATTTTAATAATAAAAGAGGTTGGGAAGTGTTGAGATTATTTTAAACAAAAATAACAGGACGATAACGTCATATTATTCAAAATGAATTTTTTAATCAACTTATTTGTTTATTAAATAAATAATATACATTAAAGAACATCAAAAATTTTTGGCCCTCATTTTGAAAGCAAGACTTTTCTTGAGATTTTCCGGTCTCGGAGGTAATCTTGGTCCTGAGTCATGGAAAATTTTCGGATTTTGGACGTTTATAATATTAAATAAAGTAACCGTATAGGGTGGGTTAAGTCAACATAAATATGTAAATGTTATTTAAATATTTAATTGTATTTAGAAGCGGCAAATATTTGTAAAAAGATAAAAGCAATTTATAAATCTCCACTTAAATAAAGATTATATTTTTCTACTTCAATAATATACTAATCCTTTTTAATCTTTTTTAACGTTAATTTATATGTATATTGTCTTTATAACAAATTGGCCTTTGAGGGAATTAGAAAAACATTTCTTAGTTATTTTTTCTGATTTTCGAAATTTTTTATTGTTAAGTTAAAAAATAGGTTTGACGTTTGTAAATCAAAAAAGGCAGTAAATAAAAGAATAAAAAAATCACCGGTTTTGAAAGATTAAATTGTATATTTATAGAGAATATTTACTTAAAAATACATAAATTCTTCAAAATATTTTTTGTTTTATTTCCTTAATTAAGAATGTATATTTTCTTATTTTTACTAGATAAAGATGTATGTAAATAATATACAAACAATAGTGTATATTAGCAAAATTAAATTTTGGTTGTTGTTTACTTTTAGTTAACAAAAAAATATTTTGAGAATAGAAGAATACTTATTGACTGTTCTTATGTACAATTAGTAAATGAAAAAATAAAATTTATTTTAATTAAAAAGTGGAAAAGGATCTAAATATTTAAATAATTTTCAGATAAAGGCTTAAATTTAAAAAATAGTTTAATTTATTAAAAAGAGGTGTTTAAATAAATAATAGTTAAAAATAATTATATAAATTAATTCCCCTAATATTATAATTTTTGTTTAAAATGTTTGAAGATCTACATATGTAGGCATTAATTTAAAATGTAAAAATAAAAAAGACAATAGATATAAAATTTAAAAATTATTTTTTTATTTATTTTGTAATCCACCATATTAAATATCCTCTTCCCCCTTTTCTTATTAAAAGTTTCTCCTTTTTAATTTTAATCAAGTAGGTATATTGAAGGAGAGATTTATCCCCTTTATTTATTTAAGGAGAGGAGATGAAGATGAAATTGAGGAGAGATGATTTAAAGAATAATAAAATAAACTTTTTTATTTAAAATAAAAATAAATTCCCCTCCAATTTAAAAAAATTAATTAATTAAATTTACCAAATCATTTTGTTTGATTGAAGGTATTACAGAAACATTTAATTGATGTAATTCAGGAAATAATTGAATTCGTTCAAATTTAACAAGTTCATCAGCAATTTCCTCAGAACTATCCAATTTATCGTTTGGGGCTTTTAAATTAAATAAATAAAATTTTTAAAATTATTTTTTTTTAATTTTAAATGATTTAAAATATTTTTTATAATTAAATATTTATACCGAAATTTTCATCGTCCTTATTTTCTGTTTTAGTTCGAACAATTAATTCCTGAAAAAAATAAATTAAATATTAATAATTTTATTTAAAATTTAAAATTTTTTTTCGATTTTTAAGTCAAAATTTAGAGAATTCTTCATTTATTATTTTGTTTTTCTTTTTTTATTTTATTTTGTTGACCGCGCTCGATTTAGTGCAATTATTTTTATAAGGTCGCAGAAATGTTAAAATACAAAAGAATTTAATTATATTAAATAAAAATACAAAAACAATTTTAGAGCGCAAAAAAATTTTTTTTATTTATTTTTATTGCTGATATTTGTAAGGAAACGATTTTTAATTTAATTTAAATTAAAAATCAGGAAAAGTTTAAAAACAAGTTTAAATTTTAATAAAAAATAATTAAAAAATATTCTACTTGGCGGAAAAGAACAAATAAAATACAAAATAATTTTTATTGTAAATACAAAAAGAAAAAATCAAGGTTAAATTTCCTGTGGTGAAATTTTCAATTTATTTATAAAAAAAAGTGCCAACAAAATAATTAGAGGAAATAAATGTTTATATTTAATAATAAATTAATATAAAAATACTAAAATTCTGTTTTTAAATCTCCCCCTACTATAGAGAGGTTGAAAAAATAATTATCCCTCTTAAAAATAATTATAATTAGCGACTGAAAAAGCTCAAAAATTACACCCTCCCTTTTAATTACCCCTTCAACCGAGAGGTTGAAGGGGTAATTACTCTGGGTAGTTATTTTAGCAAATACAGTATTTATATTTAATAATAAATTTGTAAAATAATAGTATTAAATTGTTGAAATTTTGTTTTTAAATAAAAAAAAATTTTTCGAGTTAATTCCAACCAAATTAAATTTATTTAAATTTCCAAACCTGTTTAGTAGCCAATTCTTTTATTTCTGAAGAAGAATCTTTGTTTTTATTCTCTCCATTTTTGTCCAAAGAAAATACAAGTCTATATTCTATTCGAAATGCAAACCAATTACCAGGGGTTAAACCATCAAAAGTAAATAACTAAAAATAGGGGGAAATAATTTTTTAATATTAAATCAAGATTATTTTAATTTACTTTTAATTTAAAAATTAAAAATCCCTTCCAAAAAATCCTCTTAAAATTTTAAATTTATTTATCCATTTAATTTTAAGTTTCTTTAAAAATAATTAAGTAACTTTCTCTTCCCATTATTTCATAATTTTTTTTGACTTTCCTTTTTTTTATTACTTCCTTAACTCAAAACTTATTTTTGACCTTTCCTTTTCTAAAATAAGTAACTATTTCCTTTTAAAAATATTTAAAAACTAAAAATGGCAATTGTAAGTATTTTCGGAGATAAATTGGGGAAAAAATAATTTTTTAGCCAAAAATTAAAAGATAAATAAAAAATAAATATTTTTTAACTTTTTCTTTTCTATTTTGCAAATGAGTCGAAAAATTTATTTAAAAAGGAAAAAAATATTTTTATAAAAACTTTCTTAAAATAAAGAACCAAATTGGAAATACTTTAAAAAAATTAAAAGATTGGAAAGAAAATATTTTTTAAGAAAAAAGTTTAAAATTATCGTAAATATTCTACAGGGTGACCCAAAATTTACCGAGCAGTTTTAATTTAATCAGAAATTTATCACAATATCTTTCATTTGAATAAAGTTTTTTGGGTCACCCTGTAATACTATAAACACAGTCAATGTGGAGGGCATAGGGCATACAGATTTAGTGCCGATCCGGCGTAAAAGTCGAAAAGGAAGTGACAAGTCGAACGAAGGTAAGGAAGAAGTGCCGTCGAACTGACGGCATTGTTAAAAAAATAATTTAAGCCCATGAAGGAGACCTAATGAAAAATATAAGCCTAGAGCTTCTATTAGAGTATTTACGGTAATATAACTTTTTAGAATAAAATAAAATATTTTTTAAATAAAAATAGTTTTTATTATTAAATAATAATAAAACAAAAAATTTATTTAATTACAAAAAAAAATAATTTTTTTTATTAAATTTTCTCTTAAAAAACGTAATATTCTAATATCTTGTACGTTCATTTACTTAAAAAAATAAAACGATAAAATCTAAGTAAAACATTCTTATGGGAATTAATTTAATTTAACACTTTTACTTTTTCTAAAAAATAAAAAAAATAAAAATAATGCCTGTGCATTGTAACGAGCACCAGTCAGTTCACTTTTTCGAAATTCTCGAAGTTTTTCTAAATCAAATATTAGAACACGCATATCAAAGCGATTTACATTTAAAGCATCGGCCATCTATTTGAAAGTTTTAAATTTATTTTTTTGGGGTTGAAAGGAAAATTATTTTTATTTGGAATGTTCTGGGAATATTTAGACCGGACAGGTACAGACCGAAACTTTGGTTTATTATAATTTTGATTTGGGAAGAGTAAAGCAGCTGGGCTATGGCTATTTCTCTCCCTTAGCTAGTTCAAAAGGTTATTCGGCGGCTGGGAGCGAACCAGCATCTTCAGTAGACCGGACTGATGTGTTAGCCATTACACCGCGCCACCTAATGCACAGCCTTAGGAGTTAAATAGCTATATGCTTTACAGAAGTCATTCAGTCTCATAAAAGCAAATCTCAAAAAATTAAATATTCCAAACAATTTTAATAATAATTTTTGTTTAAAAATTTATATTAAAGTTATTATTAAATAAGAAAGGTTTTGGGAACATTTAAATTAAAAAATTAAAAAAAATAAACCTCAATAACAACAGAACGTGTGGTTACTGATTTAATTGAAAAATGAGGGACACCTAAAGCATAATAAAGTTGAAATATAAATATTAATAAAATATTTTTATTTAAGTAATATTTTGAGATTAAATAATTAAAATTATTTAACATGTTTTCTGTAAATTAATTTTTTATTATTTTTTGAAAATTAGAATTTAATTTATTAAATAATTAATAAAAATAAGCATTTTCTAAAATATTTTTAATTAAATTTAAATTAATTAAACAAACAAAGAAAAATATTTTCGAATAAAAATATTTATTAAAAAATTTTTATTCTTTAAACTTTATTAAAAGGTGGAGGAAATGCCCTCTTGATGTAGAAGAATAAATAAATGAAATATTAGAGGCATACATAAAAAATTTGTAAATGGAAAGGAAAATTGAGAATGTAGAAAATAAAAGGCGGAGTTATTTTGTAAAAATATGTATTTATTTATTAAAAAATAAAATTTATTTTTTAAAAAATATTTTACAGAAAATACATCTAAAAATAAATTAAAACCGGAAATATTTTTAAATAAATTTTAGAAAAATGTTTAAATAAACTAAAATTCTGGATTAACAAAAATCTCGCTAGGTAGAAAATCTAGTTTCTGCCTCCAATTTACAGCGTTTCTTCGGATTTACGTTTTCTGACACCTCTGACTATCGACACAATTTCGGTTCTAAATTTATTAATTTTATTAAATAATATTTTTTCAAATTGAGAATGTAGAGAATCGAAACCCTGGAATTGAAGGAGGGAATATTTCAGGGTTTTGATATGTCCGGATTTTTCCTTATTTTGTGGTTTTTTGATAGGGCCACGAGGATTATTTTTAAAAATGTGGATATATAATGTTGATTTTTTTATCAAAATTGATTTTTAAAAATTCGAGATCGAAACCCTGGTGAATATAAATTAAAAGCCGAATAACTTTAAAAATCGACAAAAATAAATTAAAAAAACATCATTTATATTTTTTTTATTTTTAAAATAAAATTTATTTATTAATTTCCTTCTTGTAAAAAAACTAACGCCCAAAGAAAAACAATAGAATCGCTAATTATTTACTTTTAAAAAAATAAAACAAAAATACTAACCTTCTATCTAAATTTGAAAAAAAAAACAAAAAAATTATTCATTGAAAACTCATCAAATTTGCATTCATTCCAGTTTATTTTTTTTCTTGGTTTTCTTTAGAAACAATGAAGGAGGCTTTGTGAATTTGTTAGTAGCTAATATCTCACCTTAAAGAATTTTATTTCTAACATTAGTATACATAGTGTTGTGTGTTCCCCTCCTCATGAATAAACATGTAAAAATGAAAAAAAGTGTGAATGAATTTAAAATGAAGTATGGACTAAAAAATTAAAAAAATATTTTGAAGAAAAGTATTTACTAAAAAAAGATATTTAAATTAAAAAAACATTGACCTCAAGATTTCAATCAGTGCAAAAACGAGGTACGAGTACGAGCAATAAGTTCGAGTAAAAACTCGTAATTGGCATTAATGAAAAAATTAAAGAAATACCATTGTATCTTTAATTTCTTTCATTGTCTTTTTGAAACATTGGCAATTCTCGGCAAAACTTTCTATCATTTTTATTCAAAAATAATTTTAATTTTACATCAATTATGTGGCTTGAATCTCTAACGTGATTCTCTTAACTTATGAAGACCTAAAATTCTCAAATTTTATGTATAAGAAGGCTAACTGCAACACAACTGGATTACAAAGCATGATAACCTGTAAATATTCCATAATTTCTTAAAGTAAACTCTTACATCTCCAAGGCAAAAGTTTAAATTTTTAGTTAACGCGCCAGCCATATAGGATTAATGATAAGCTAATTAATTGTCTGCCAGGTCAGAATATAATAAAATTTTACTCTTAGATATCTACTTAAAATTCATAGAAATTTAATTATTTTATCAAAAGTTTATTTTATTCAATTTTAATGGAATGCGCGAAACTTTAAAATAAAAATGTTGCAATAAAAATTTATTTAATGCAAAAGCAAAAAATGTTTAAATTTTTAATAATTTTGCAACAAAACCATGACGATTCTCCTCAAATAAAAAAATATTTTTATTTATTTTTCTGTGTAAATAGCTGTTTAATATTACTCTTTTCATACTCATTTTTCCAGAATTGTGGGAATGTAAACAAACAAAAATGAAAAATTTTTTAAAAACCTTTTTATTAATTGCAATATTTTGTAGAATTGTGGACGTAAAAATACATAATTATAAAATTCTGATTTGAGAACAGAATTAATTTCGTTTAAATAAAATTCTTCAAGTTTAATTCTATAAAATAAATACCGTATTTCTTCTAATAGTGCGACCGGTCGGTTTATTTTTCAACCTTCCTCTAGGGAGTCGGTTTATTAGAAGGGGTCCGTCTATTAAAGACCGTCGCACTATTAGAAGAAATACGGTAAATAAATACAAGATTCTAATTAAATTTATAAAATAATTTCAAATAGAAAACTTAATTTAAATTATAATAGTGTAACGAGCTTTCGCTCATTTATTCTCCCATTGTTTTATTCACAAAATTTTTTTATTTCAAAAATAAAATAATCGAAAAGTTATTTATTGTATATACTCCCTACTCTCATTTTTTTATCCCAAAAATTTCAAAAAAAATTCAAAAAAAATTTGAAACTAAAAAAACTAAATAAATAAACATATTTATTTGTTACGATGCAGGTGAAAATTTAAAATAAAATGAAAATATACAACCTATTTATTTATTGATAAAATTATTTTTCTGAAATAATTTGTCAATTTGAATTTATTATTGAATGTTTCAGATAAATACAGATAAAATTTAATTATAGTAAATATCATTAAGTTCCAAAAATTATTCAAACACTTAAACAAAAATAAATAAATTATATTTATTTAAAATATTAATTAATTAATTAATTATTTAATTTAAAATTTTTTAATCGATTCGTCAAGTCACTTGTCTAATTTTGAAATAAAAGGCACGTGAAAGAAATCAAGTGCCATTGAATGGGATCCTTGAGAAAGTCCATATATTCGCAAATATTAATAAAAAAATAATATACATATTATTTTACTAAATATTTATTTGTATATTTTGTTGAAATCATCAATTTTTTCGGACAATTAAAATTTTTAAAAAATATTTTGGAATATGTCTTGATAAATATTACTATTTTTAATAAATTATTTAATTTTTAAAATTAATACGAGAAAATAAAAAATAATAAAAACAAAAAAAAAACAAAAAAGAAAACGAGGGAAAAGTTAATTGAAGCTGAAAACCTGGAAGGAATAAATTGAAGTATATGACTGGCTTTGATACTTAAAGTTGATTAAAAATTAAAAGGATAAAGCTGCGAATAAATGTACAGTTTTAGTTATAGCGATTAATTAAACAAAATCCTCTCTTACAATGCCCACACAAAGCGTTGCGAATGTAGTTTGTAATTTTGAGAGGGAGAGTAATATGTAAAGGGCATTGTGTAAAGGGCATTGTGACTTATGACTTTTTGCCTATGTAAAGATGGCATTTAAAGGCATAAGGATGGCCATGTCTAGCTCCTCATAATCGACAGCCTCTCCGACTCTTCTCTATCTCTAACTCTAAGTCGACGTGTTGAAATCGCAACGCATCTCTATATATCCCGCCTCTCAACTTTTGCCATTTTACTGCCTCGAAAGGCATTCACATTCAAATTCCCTATCTAAATTAAATTCATTAGCGGAAAATCCCTCGATTGCCCAATTTGTTAAATCCCAAAATTTTAAACAAATTGTATAGCCAAGATTCGGCAAGGAAAACGGGTATGGATATAAGGGTTGTAATAATACTCTTATCCATATTACTCCCCAGATCCGTAAATGGCGACGGATCTGCACTACCTGGAAATTGCACTCAACCACCAAACACCTCAATGATTATCTACAACAAGGATGATCCGAATATTTTAACTCAAAAAACTCCAGCTGGAGAGTGTGAATGCATGTCGGATCCAACAAAGAAAATATATTTCTTCAGTCCTGGAGAACAAATCCCGCCGACTGGTCCAAAAGCAGGAGAGTCCCCAATAGGCATGCAATGTCGAAAAAAGGAAGATTATTGTGTTTGTGATGAATCTGACGTTTGTTGGACAGTAGAAAACGCGTATGCCGAACTGATTATTAACCCATATTGCGATCCGAGTAATTATTTACATCTTAATTAAATTTTATATTTAATTTAAGCCTGTCATAATTATGTAAGAATGAACAACATTGAACCAAAAACTCAAACTCTTGTAAGTGATAATGGACAGCAAATCAAACTCAGTGATCAACTAATGAAGATTAATGAAAAACAGAATTCATTCAAAAAGATGGAAAGTGATTCAAATGCTTATGTAAAAGTATGTGGTAAAAGTCTTATATTTCATCGAGGAAAATAGTCTATTCCTCGATATCCGGTCAAATCCTGTTCCATATCCCATAATCCCTCAATATCCCTTTAAATACCAGTATAGATCCCACTTAATCTCCTGATATCCGTCAAATAAAAAATAAAGAATAAAGGCCTGGATCCATGAATTAATCCTTGATTTTTCCTTTACTCAAACTCAAAAATCTGGACAAGGTACCCACCCAAATCAAGGTCAAAGATCAGGGTTTTTTTGAAAATCTCGCTCTCTAGTTACATCTTTAGAGTCCTCGAATATTGTTTTATAGAGATAAATTGTTTTAAAAATAAATCGGGATTAATCTATACTACCACATCCCCAACACATTGACTTCCACAAATTTTTAAATAAATTCCGATTATTAGGCAAAAAGTATTAGCTGCTTAACAGCGGGAAGTAAATGTGCTCCTACAAAATGTGAGATTATAACGACATCGACTCCGACTACTCCAACGACTCCAACTACTCCCACAACTGAGACAACCCCCACTACACCTACAACTCCGACAACTGAGACTACTCCCACAACGCCTACTACACCTACGACTCCGACAACTGAAACTACTCCGACAACGCCAACGACTCCGACAACTGAGACTACTCCCACAACGCCTACTACACCTACGACTCCGACAACTGAAACTACTCCGACAACGCCAACGACTCCGACAACTGAGACTACTCCCACAACGCCAACGACACCGACTACTCCTACTACAGAAACTACTCCCACAACACCAACTACACCTACGACTCCGACAACTGAGACTACTCCCACAACGCCTACTACACCTACGACTCCGACAACTGAAACTACTCCGACAACGCCAACGACTCCGACAACTGAGACTACTCCCACAACGCCTACTACACCTACGACTCCGACAACTGAAACTACTCCGACGACGCCAACGACTCCGACTACTCCTACTACAGAAACTACTCCCACAACGCCTACTACACCTACGACTCCGACAACTGAGACTACTCCCACAACACCAACGACCCCGACTACTCCTACTACTGAAACTACTCCCACAACGCCTACGACTCCGACAACTGAGACTACTCCCACAACGCCTACTACACCTACGACTCCGACAACTGAGACTACTCCCACAACACCAACGACCCCGACTACTCCTACTACTGAAACTACTCCCACAACGCCTACGACTCCGACAACTGAGACTACTCCCACAACGCCTACTACACCTACGACTCCGACAACTGAGACTACTCCCACAACACCAACTACACCTACGACTCCGACAACTGAGACTACTCCCACAACACCTACGACTCCGACAACTGAGACTACTCCCACAACGCCAACGACCCCGACTACTCCTACTACAGAGACTACTCCCACGACGCCTACTACACCTACGACTCCGACAACAGAGACTACTCCCACAACGCCAACGACTCCGACTACTCCTACTACAGAGACTACTCCCACGACGCCTACTACACCTACGACTCCGACAACTGAGACTACTCCCACAACGCCAACGACCCCGACTACTCCTACTACAGAAACTACTCCCACAACACCCACTACACCTACGACTCCGACAACTGAGACTACTCCCACAACGCCAACGACTCCGACTACTCCTACTACAGAGACTACTCCCACGACGCCTACTACACCTACGACTCCGACAACTGAGACTACTCCCACAACGCCAACGACTCCGACTACTCCTACTACAGAGACTACTCCCACAACGCTTACTACTCCAACAACACCAACTACTCCCACTACGCCATGCTCTGCTCCAATTCAGTGTATTCAACCACCACTTACTGCTATGCTTATCTACAACAAGGAAGATCCAAAAATAAAAACACAAGTGAAACCCGCAGGAGAATGTGATTGCCCGTCCTGTCCAGATAGTAAAATGGTCTTTTTCCATCCTGTTGCTAAAATTACGACTGGTAAAGATGCTGGATCTTCCCCCATTAACATGCAATGTTCAAGTATGGAAAGCTTTTGTGTTTGTGACGATAAAGGTGTTTGTTGGAAGTTGACTAATGCATTGGCTCAATTAGTGATTAACTCACATTGTGATCCAACTAATTTGAGTGTTTGTCATATGTATGTGAGAATGAACAATATTGAACCAAAAACTCAAACTTTGGAAAGCGATAATGGACAGAAAATTACACTTGACGATCAATTGATGAAAATTCCAGGCACTAACCGAAATATGTACAAGCCAATGATTAGCTCTGCCACTTATTATATCAAGGTCCATTGCTTATTTTTGAACTTAGTTTTACTCATAAATTTAGGCAACAAGTATTAAATGTCTTGCGGAAGGAGAAACATGTGCTCCAATCAAGTGCGAGAGTATATGCACATCAACACCTACAACACCCACTACGCCAACAACCACAACAACTCCCACAACTCCAACAACTGAAACCTCGACCAAAAAACCAGATGGTAATCTCTTTATACCTAATATACAAAATTAGATAAAATTATTTTAATATTTTTTTATTATTCTAATTTAATTTAGATTGTACTGATGTCATACCCAGTATGTGTGTTTTACCCAAAATGTGCAAAATCGAAGACAATGATAACTTCTTTTTGAAGAGATTGAAAAAATCGTACATAACAAATTGCTGTGCTACGTGTCATGCTATAACTGCTTGAAGGAATGGATTTGATGTGAACCAAGGAATTGGCAAAACAGACTGACTAAACAAACTGAAAAACTTTTTAAATTATTTTATATACCTACATCATATTTATATATAGTACCGAATTTATTTTAATAGAACCACTGTCTCTATTAGAACTACTGTGTCTAATATAACCACCCTAGGGTTGAGTCCCGAGCCTTCGGGGTTGAAAAAGTCGGGGGTCGGGGCGCAACCCTAACCACCCCAACCACCGGTGGTTCTATTAGATTAAATACGGTATTTCCCGTTGATTGAGTTATGAATTTTTAAATGAAATTGAAAACAAATTTTGGAATATGTAAAATAAAAATTCATAGCTCCTTGAAATCATGTAAATATTTACTTCTTTAAATTCCCTAACCATTTATTGCTGTCACCGTGTGATTTCACCAAAAAATTCCCATTTGTGAATGTTTTTTTCTAGTTTATTTGGGGCATTATTTAAAATTTTTTTAATTTTCTTTTTACAAAAGATTTTTTTATTCAACATTTATATCCATATTTATGTATATTATCCATTTAAAAATGTTTATTCCGGTTCTTGGGGTAGTTTATAAAGACTACATTACCAAACTAAGGTTTTCTAAAAATTACAAAGGATACCCTACCGGTTTCTTCGGATTATAAAATAACCGGAATCATCATTTTCTTATTTTTATTTAAATTTATTTAACGTTTTTTAAATTATTTAACATTTTTTTCCTCATAAAGGATTATTTGGTAAATTTTATTTTGGGTATTCGAATTAAATTAGTGTTTTTAAACAAAAAAGAGTTTCCAAAATAAGTTAAAATTTAGTAGAGGTTTGGAGTTTAGGTTTAATTTAAGAATTTCTTTTGTTAAGAATACGTTAGAGATTTTGTAGAAAAATGTTCAAAAAATGATGTTTTTACGTCGGTTTATTAAAAATTTTTTTCAGAAATCCTTTTAAAATTTTTAAAATTATTCCTGGGAATCTCATTAAAATTGATTACCGTAAATGCTGAAATAATTACACTAGATAAATTAGTTTCAACCTCTCGCTGGAGGAGGTAATTATTATTAGGGAAGATGTGCTGGATTTAGGGTATATCTCAATCCAGTTGAAGCGAAATTGATTTATTTTTTGATAATGAGTTGTTCCAATAATCAAAGTTGATAGTAATTCAAATTATTTTCAATTAGATTATCTTTGAATTATCATTTCAATATATTCCTTATATTCCTTATATATTCCTTATTTTTAAAGTTTGAGTAAAATAACTAGGGGTAATTATTAGAGAGGGTAATTATGTCAGCATTTACGGTAATTAGTAATTATGAGAGACGAAAGTTATAACATATTAGTAATTTTTTAATAAAATTTAAAAAATAAATGAAAAGCATGTAATGTTGCTGGGGTGGGGGTTGTTGGGAAAGGAAGGGAACGGTTCGACGGCAGCTCCGGTTATCCTAGTCCACGGAAGAACTAGGGCCGGAGCCCCGGATGGTTTACCCCTGAGTTAAATTATAAAATTAAAAGTAATTCAAAATAAAATTTATTTAATTAAAAAATAAAAAGACAAATATATGTGTGAGGAATGGGGGAGAAGGGAAATTAAGTGATTGGAATTAAAAGTGAAAAATATATGGGGAGATGGTGTGGAAATAAAATGTTCGGCTGGCAATTAAAAGGCCACGCCTTATACCGTTACATGCCTCATTCTTTTTTAAATGCCGACCCCGGCATTAAAGTTTAAATTTTGAGAGGGGTATGAAAATATTATTTTTTTTTGAAAATTTAGTTTTTGAGGGGTTTGAAAAATATGAAATTTATTTTTTTAAGGGGGGATATGAAAATATATTTTTTTTTTTTTAAATTTTTAAGTGGGAGAGGGGGTAGAAGGAATAATAAAAAATATTTTTTAAGGGGGGATGTATATGTTTAAAAATTATATATTTTTTTATTAATGCGGCCGGCAAAAAAAAAGAATGACGACATATATGGTAAAAATTGGTAAAAATTGTGGTAAAAATTGTTTAAAAAAACATTTAAAAAAATGTGGTTATTTAACTTAAATGTGGTAAAATATCTTTATTTTAAATAATTAAAGCTTACTTAATTTAAGAAAATCTTATTATTATTATTTTTTAATCCTAACAAAAAATTTCTTTTTATTTTTAATTTTAACTTGTTTTCTTCTTCATCATATTCTTCTTTTTCTCTCAATAATGGGATCCAGCATGTCGGTAGCGGTCCTGTTGTTTAAAATATGGTTCATAGAAGCGTACTCCACGTTGTCCACGATAATTTCCTCTTCCTCCACCACCTCGATATTGTTGATAGTTTCCCCGTCCATGATAATTTTGTTGTTGTATTGGCACTTCTGCTGCTGATGATGAAGCCTCCTCTGATGTATTATCTTCTTCCTTCTTTTCCGCAATTAATAATATAGCCTCTTTGATGTTTTCCAAACTTTCCTTCAATTCAAGAACACAATTTCCCTTACACTTTTTCTCTTCCTTCTTCTTTATTACTGGTTGTTTTTCTTCATTTTGTTTTTCAACAACTTCATTATTTTTGTTATTTTCAGACATTTTTAAATAATTTTAATAAATTGAAGGCTTTATGAAATTCTAAATTATAAAATAGTTATAAATTATTATAATGGTTAAAATATAATACTTATTATAAAAATATTATAAATTTAAAATGAATTTAAATGTTATTAAAACGTTATTAAATGTTAAAAAAATGGTAAAAAATGTAAACTAAATAAAATATTAAAAGAAAATTTTTATTTATTATATAAATATTTTATTTTGTAAATACGAAGAAATGTTATATATCTGTTTCTGACTCCTCTCTTTCAATATTTTTATCTTTATATATAATCTTTTCATTTGGCCTTTCATTTAGTATTCTTAATTCAAGTGGCAATTTATTATTATAGTGTTTAACTTTATCTAAATGTGTTTCAATTAACTTTGATTCATTTTCTTTCAATGTCACATTTGGTTTATTTATTGATATTATTTGGAAGGGACCGTCATATTTTTTCGAAAATTTATGAGTTGGAACTTCAACTTTTTTCATTACATAATCTCCTATTTTGAAATTTGAGGGATTGCTTTTAAATCAAAATTATCTTTTTGTTTTTCTTGTGCTTTTTCGATATTTATTTTTGTTTGTTTCCATATATTATTTAATTTATCTGTTAAATTTTCTTGAAAAAGTGTAATATCTGTATTATTATGATCGTTCTCTCCAATTTCTAATACTCTATCTATTGGTAATTTCATTTCTCTTCCATATAATATATAAAAAGGGCTATATTGTGTACTTTCCTGTTTAGATGAATTATATGCCATAGTGGCTAATTGTAAATATTCTTGCCAATTTCTACCTTCCTTATCTACATAATGGGATAAAATAGATTTTATAATTATAAGATCTTTCTACTTGCCCGTTAGCACTTTGATGATAACTTACTGTAAATATTTGTTCAAATCCGAATATTTTAGATATATCTTTCATAATTTGTGAAGTAAAATTTCGTCCTTGATCACTAGTAATATATTTAGGTACGCCATATTTAGTTATTATTTGATCTATTATTATTCTCATAATTGATGGAGCCGTTTGATCTTTTAACGGGCAACATATTAAATATTTAGAAAAGCTGTCGATAATTGATAGTATATATTTAGAACCTTTAGTACTTGTTATTAATGGACCTATAACGTCCATATGTAAGTGTTCAAACGGAATACTAGGTTTTTTAATAGGATATAATTCTTCATGATTTGGATGAAAAGCGTCTTTTACTTTCTGACATGATTCACAGGATATAATATAATTTTTAATATCTTTATTCATATTTGGCCAATAAAATCTTAATTTCATTTTTTGTAATGTTTTATTAATTCCTAAATGGCCGCCTTCTCCTGGATTATCATGTATAATTTTAAGTATATTTTCTCTCATAATATATGGTATTACAAGTCTTGCGACTCCTTTTAAGTCAATAAAATGTAAAGCTCCGTTTATTATTGAATAACTTTTAATTAATTCTTGTAATAGCTCTTTTTCTGATTTATTTTGTGGAAAATATCCATTTAAGGCGTTTATAATTTTTCTTAATTCTGGGCACATTTTTTGTAGTTTAATTGTTTTAGATATTGAAATTTGTTTATTAATATTAGTATTTAAGTTATTATTAGATTGTTCTTCGTCACTTTCCGAGCTAGATAAATAATTTGCTTTTGCTTGTGATCTTGTTACTACATTAATATTTCGACTTAAATAATCAGCGAATTTATTAGTTTTACCGGATCTATGTATTATTTTTACATCGTAAGCTTGTATAGATAATTGAAATCTAGCTAATCTACCAGTTAAGTCTTTTCTTGTTAAAATAGAACATATTGGACTGTTATCTGTTTTAATTATTGTCGTGCCTGTACCGATTATATAAATTGAAAATTCTTTTAGAGCTTGATTAATAGCTAATGCTTCTAATTCATTAATATGATAACGTTTTTCTGTGTCTTTAAGTGTTCTGGAATAGTATGCTACAGGGTGTTTATTTTGAATTAATACGGCACCTATGCCTTTTAATGATGCGTCTGTTTCTATTATATAACTTTCTTTAGGATTAGGTGGCGCCAATACTGGCGGACTTTTTAATTTTTCTTTTATTTCGTTAAATGAATTCCATTCTTCTTCATTCCATTCTTTAGATGTTTTAAATTTATTATCTTTAGTTAATTCATATAATGGGCCGAGAATTTTAGCACAAGATGGTATAAATTTTCTAAAATAATTGACTGCTCCCAAAAATGCTCTTAATTCGTGTAAATTATTTGGAGGTTTTATTTTATTTATACATTCTAAGTCTTTTGGGTCTGGTCTGATTCCATTTTCTGATATAAAAAATCCCAAATATTTAATTTCTGCTAATCCAAATTCACATTTCTCTAGTTTCAATCTCATACCAAAATTAGATATTACATTAAGAAATTGTTCTATATCATTTAAATGTTCTAATTCATTTTCTGATGATAATATTACATCGTCAATATATATTAAAAAAGAGGCCGAAATATATTTTTTCAATTCGTTCATTGCTCTCATAAAAGTTGTGGGGGCACCACAAAGTCCGAAGGGTACTTTAATAAATTGAAATAATCCCATCCAACAAGAAAATGCGGTTCTTTCTTTATGTTCTGGATTCATAGGTAATTGATGAAATCCGGATTTAAAATCAAAACCTGTAAATATTTTCTTTCCCGCTACTTCTTCTCTAATTTCGTTTATTATTGGTAAATGATATACTTGTTTAATTGTTATTGCATTTAATTTTCTATAATCGATGGCAAATCTCATAGTTCCATCTTTTTTCTTTACTAATACTACGGGCGAAGCAAATTGTGAATTAGAATGTTCTATTATATTATCTTTTAGCATTTGTTCTACTTGTCTTTTAATTTCATTTTTCATTGTCATTGGTACTCGATATTGTCTTTACGAAATTGGCCCTTTTCCTGGTTCGATATTTATATTATGTTGGATTGAACCTTTATAATTACTTTTTTCTGTAAATACGTGTTTATATTTGCAAATTATTTCTTTTAATTTTTCTTGGCTTTGTTTACTTAATATTGATTTTTCTAGATTAACTCCTTTTAAAAATTCATAATCCTTTTCTATTTGACAAGAATTAATATACTTTGAATATATTTTATGATTATTATTTTCAATTTCGTTTTTAAATTTTATATTAATTAGTTCAGTTTCATTATTTATTGTTTCAAGTAGTGCTATAACTTCTCCTGGTTTTATTTTTATTTCCTGCTGTGTTGGATTCATTAATCTTAGAGTAACAAATTTTAATGGTCCAGGCTTAACAATAGTTCGTCCAACTAGAAAAAATTCTGAATTTAAATATTCGGGTGGATTGGTAATATATAAATTTCCTGAACAATCAAATTCGGTTATTCCTGTAACGAGATTATCGGTTCTTGCTTCTAATATTATTTCATTTGGTGCAATTACTGATATATAATTATAATTATTATTTTGGGTATTTTTATTTAATCCTGCTGATATAAATGCTATAAGTGGAATTTCTGATTCACCAATTCTTATTTTATTTCTATGAAATTCTAAACTAATATTATTTCCAAGTTCATTTAATCTTTTTATAAAATCAGCGCCGATTAAGCATGGATAAGGGCAGTTATTATCTTCTGTTACATAAAAATAATATTTAAAAAATATATTTCCAATTTGTATATTAGCTTGGCATTTTGTTATAAATTTAAATATTGATTGATTTGCCGTTCTAGCTTTGGGGAGTATTGAGTCTAATATTGGCAATAAATTATAGTTATTCATAATACCTTCTCTTAAATAAGATATTGATGCTCCTGAATCAAACAAAGCTCTTATGTTTTTCCCGTTAATTTTCATTGATATCACTGGTAACATATTATTATTTTGGTTAATATAACTTTCTGATGAATACATAAAAGCATAATTATTACATCTATTCCAACCTGGGCTTTGTATATAAGTTTTATTATTATCATTTATAAATATTTCGCCTGTTTTAAGTGGAATACTTCCAATTTGGTTACATATTAATTTGATAGTGTCATATCCTAAGATAAAATTAAATGGAATTTGATTTTCATCTGTCAGCCAAACAAATATTTCGCTAAGAAATACTCCAACTTCTAATGTTATTATACAACAACCAATTATTTTTACTTGATTTCCTTTTCCAATTGGTGTGTAAAGTTTTGGAATATATTTATAATAAACTTTCTTTGCATTGATTTTATTAGAAAATGATAATGGACATAATGAAAATTCTGAGCCTGAGTCAAATAAAGCCTCAGTACTAATTCCATTAGCAATTATATTAATTAAAGGTAAATGAGAATTATTTGTTATATTTAGTTCAGGAAGCATATTTTCAAATTTTGGAGAATTTATTTCTATCCAATTTTTAAATTGTTCTCTGTATTCATTTGTTAAAATGTTAGCATTATTTTGATATATTTTGGTTAAAACAGCAATTTTATGTTTAATATCATATTCCGTATAGTCAAATTCAATCATACCATTGTTATTAAAATATGTTTTTATTCCGTATCTTTCAAATGTTTGCAAATGGTCAATGCCTATTATTAATGGTATATTTATATTCTCATACAAGAAAAAGTTTAATTCTATTATTTCAAAGCCTTTAGGTATTAAAGTTAATTTAGTTTTCTTTGTAAATTTAATATTTGAGCCTCCGAGGAAAAAAATATTTATAGGGTCAATTTCCTGAATTTCAAACTTGGCTTCGTTAAATATATGAATAGGTCCGAATGATATATTTGCTCCTGTATCTATTATAGCTGGATAAAACTTCGATCCTATTGGTATATATAATCTTGGCAAATTTTGGCAATTGTTCACAATATTATATGCATAATTAAGATAATTTACTGGTTTATCCTTTGTTACTTGTTTAGAATTATTCTTTTCAAATTTATTTATTATTATATTATCAGGAGTTTCATCCTTTAACTCATTTATATTAATATTATTTACTTTACAGTCTTTTATGACCGGCAATTCTAAACCAGACTCATTTAATTCTATTGCATTAATTTTAAAAAATCTCCAAGGCCAATTTATATCAGTAAAAAATAATTTCAACTTTCTATAGTAAGAATAAGTTAGAAATAAAAAATAAATTATAGCACCGGGTATTATTATTCCAAATAATATAAATTTTATCCACCACCAAACATCGTCTAAAAATCTTTTTATTAAATTAGTAGTCTCGTGTACTGTATTATAAATGTTATTTGTTTTGTTTTCTATATTAGTTTTAACCGAATTTGTAAAATTATCTGCTTTGTTAATTATTGTTTTTGTGGAATTAACAATATTTTCTTTAAAATTTTCCACATTTAAGGAAATATTATATGTTTTCTCACGAATCCAACTCTTAGAATCTACTATCTTCTCTTTTACTATTTTTTTAAAATTATGGGTCCAATCGATAAATATATTATTATATTCTTTTTCTTTTAAACAATTCAAATTCTCTGTTATTTCCATAAATTTTGTTTTTACAATCCACGAATTGATATTTTCAGACTTTACAAAATTTTTGCCATCAAATAAATTTAAGTTATTATTTTTATTTTTATAAATTGGGTTGATCTTGTCCCAAATTATCGAATCATATTCTGTTAAATAATAATTAGGAGAAATTAAGACAGATTTCTCTAATAAATTACTCGAAATCCATTTTCCTTCAAACGAAATTATTTTAGAAAAAGATATATAAATTATTTCAGTTAAATTATGGCAATTATTATCAAATCTCGATTTCAAAATTCTCCACTTTGGTACTTTTGGCAGTTCATTTAAATGTTCTCTTATTGGATTGGCAAAATATAAACATTCTGTATAATTTATTTTAATAGAAGTATTTATTTTGTTACAATTATTTATCAGATTTTTACTACATCTAACTCCGAGTCCTGTAAATATATATTTTTGACAATTATGTGAAAATCCTGAGATTGAATTAATAAAAATTAAACATATTATTGTTACTATAAATGGTAAAACCGCAGTTATTTGATATCCTCCTCTACCTCTACGGCGATTTCGATAAGGTCCGAAATTAGAATTATTGTTATTGTTTATATTATTACTATTAAAATCATAATTATTATTATTTGAATTATTATTGTTCGGATTATATTGGTTCATATTGTGATTAAAATTTTGGTTATTATTCCAGTTACGGTTTTGATTCCAACCTCTTCTATTATAAAATCCTCTTCTGTTATTATAATAATTATACGATGGGTTCTGATAAGGCATATAATTAGGTGGTCGAGCATTTATACTTGATAATGGAATGGGATTATGATTACATTTAGAGCAACTTTGTTCTGTTTTAACTATATTAATTTTTTCCTCATTTAATTTTTCAGATAATTGTGCTTTTAATTTCTCTAATTCTCGACATAATCTATATTGTTCACTTTCTAAAGAATCTTGTCGTGATTTTCCGTTTATTTTTAATTCTTCCTCGGCTAAAATTTTCTGATTTAATTCCTCCTTTTGCGCTGAGGTTATCGCATCGGCTAATGTTTTAGGCTGTTCTTGTCTAATTAATACTTTTCTTAAGTTATATTTTAATCCTCTATAAAATGCATCTACTATTAGTTCATTTCGCTGTACTTCTGTATATTTATCTTTTGGAAACCCTTTCTTTACTAAGGATTCTATAGCAGCAGCGAATTCTGAAACCGATTCTCCAGGTTTTTGATCTCGGAGCAACAGTTGTGCTCTCGCTAAACAATTACCCTGGTGATCTTGACTTAATTTATTTCCCATAGCTTTTTTAATGTTATTCCAAGAACTTTTTTCGTTATCTGTTAGTAAATCATACATAGCTAAAGCTTCAGATTCTAAATAATTTGGTAAAGTTTTTGATAAAATATTTTCGTCCCATCCTAGGGCATCACCAATTCTACAGTATTCTTTTAAATATTGCTCCCAATCTCTGGGATCATCTCTTCCGATAAATTTAGGTGGTACTAAATGCGGTACTTGTGCTTTTGGTCTATCTAATTGCTCTTTAATCTCTTTAATAGCGTCCATAAGTTCCTTTAAATCCATATTGTTATTATTTTCAATTTTTATTAATTTATTATAAAATGGACTTTTACTTAACTTTGGGCTCGGATTATAAATTAAAGTTTTATTATTATTATTATCTTTTGGCGTTGAAAATTCGCTGTTACTTTCGCTGATTAATGTATTATCTAAATTAATATCTAATTCGATTTCAATATCTGATTTATCACTTGATTCTGAAGATTTAGAATTAATTAATTGAGCTTTTCTTTTCTGACTTCTCGTCTGTATAATTGAATGATATTTATTTTTATTAGTTGACGAAATCTTTATTTTAATTTATAACAATTATTTTAATTATATATTTGACTAAATAGGCTGATGAATCAAATCTCCACAATTTATTTTATTAGAATAATTATTTATTATGAACAAGGTTGCCAGGTCGTTCTTTTAGAACTTTATGCTATTTTGCAACCTTGGCAGTGGCTTGATTTAAAATTATTATTTATTATAGATATTATTTATATTTCTCTCTTTTATTTGTTATCAATTCTTCCACAATCAATTATATTATCTATATCGAAACTATCAACAACTATCAATTATATCTATCAATTATATGTTATATTATTTGTATTTATTTCTTTTATTTACTACCAATTTTATCACTATCGAAACTATCAACAACTATCAAATATTTATAAATCAAAACTAGGTTGCTAGGACGTCTAAGACCTTCGCCGTATATACGGATCCTGTTAGCAGTGGCTAGATTTAGTTAATTATATTAAAAATTATTATATATATTTTAATTTATAATTATATTCTTCTCGAAATATTATATTTTTTTAACTTTATTTATTATTAAACTAGGTTGCCAGGCGTTCAAAGAACCTTCGGCGGATAATACGCTACCTCGGCAGTGGCTAGCTAATAAATTTTCTTTAATATATCTCTTTACAATAATTCTTCAAATACTTTAAATACTTCTTCAAAATTTCAATTGTAGTTCAAATTTATTAATTATTATTATTTATAGTTAATTAATCAGTAATATATACGTATCTTTTCAATCTCAAATAAAAATTTCGAATAAATCACTTTGATGAAATACTTTAATTAATTTAATTATATTTAGAAGAATATATTTTGTTGATAATTTATGTTAGGATTAAATGATTAAATTTAAATTCAAATATTTCAATAAAATTATTTAATAAATACTCTTTTAGTATTATATGAAAATTTATTATAGTTTAATAGACTTTATTACTTAATATTATTTAAAATGAAAAATAATTTTTATTTAGCTGTTTAAAAAAATGTATATATTTTTTTAAAGTGAATGTCCTTTCTATTTTCCACCTTTATTTATATTTTGTATGGGAAGGAAAAAAGGGGGAGTGGCAAAAAAATTTAAAAGAAAAAAGAGAAAGAAATGTAAAGAGAGAGAAGGCAAAAGATTAAAAGAATATATGTGGAAAAATGCGATTGAAAAAATGTTGGGGCAAATAGCGCTATTTGAAAATAAAAATAAAATTGTTTTGAAAAAAAGGTGCAAAAATGTAAATAAATTTAAAATAAAAGATGTGCAAAAAAAAATTTTTAAATAGAGGAATGGCTTCTCCTCGACAGGAGAATAAAGATTGGGAAATGGAAAGAAAAATTTAAATTTATTTTGCAAAAACAGAAAGGGGAAGAATTGTAAAAAAAAAATTTAAATAGAAGGGTAAGGATAGTGCCGACTGTTTTTTCTCTCACAAATACTTTGCTGTTCTTTGCTCTTCTTTTTTAAATTTATTTAAATAATTGTGTTTACATTTATATAGTATATGCCTGTCTGAAAAGGGGCATTCTCTCTTTTATTTGGTGTTTGCTCTTTATTTTTTGAATTTTTAAACTGAAAAGGCGTTGGTTGATCAGACCAAGCCGAGTGGGGGAGAGGGGGGGGGGTGAGCAAAACACAGGATTTTCCCATTATATTTGGATTTTTGAAGAAGGGGTTCCGAAAAAATTTTAGAGGTTAGGGGTATATTGTATATAGATAATATATATTTTTTAAATTAATATTGCATGCCTTTATAATAACTTTATATGAATTAAATATTTTAATTGTATGTATTGTATTTATTTTGAAATAATTATGTAGAATATATTTAGGTAAGGGCTTTTTCTGAAAGAATATTATCGATAATATTTTATTGAATTTTTGAAAAGGGAAATAATTTATTTGGAATTTATTTTAAAGGATTTTTGAGGGGGGACGCCGAAAAGTTGGGAAATTTAATAATAGTATATATTTATTATATGGTATAATAATAAAGGAATATGGATAATAATAATGTATTTATAATAATTTATTAATTTATTAAACGCGCGCGTTGAAGAGAGATTTTTTTAAAAGTTTCGGCATAATAAATGTTTTAATTATTTTTTAAATTTAATTTTAATCAAATTTCCATTTTCAACCATCCTCCCGGGTCGTGGCACCATGTAATGTTGCTGGGGTGGGGGTTGTTGGGAAAGGAAGGGAACGGTTCGACGGCAGCTCCGGTTATCCTAGTCCACGGAAGAACTAGGGCCGGAGCCCCGGATGGTTTACCCCTGAGTTAAATTATAAAATTAAAAGTAATTCAAAATAAAATTTATTTAATTAAAAAATAAAAAGACAAATATATGTGTGAGGAATGGGGGAGAAGGGAAATTAAGTGATTGGAATTAAAAGTGAAAAATATATGGGGAGATGGTGTGGAAATAAAATGTTCGGCTGGCAATTAAAAGGCCACGCCTTATACCGTTACAAGCACTTTTACATATTTAAGTAGTTATTAATAATTTTAGAAAAATTTAAATAAATAAATTATAACATTTCACCGGGCATTTTCTCATCATCCTTTTCAACAACACTTACTTCTTCATCTAATAAATTAACACATTTTCCATCCCTTTTAAATTAATTTTTATCCAAAAATTATTTAATTATTTCTACCTTTTTGGAGGTAAAAACACAACACTATTCCTCATAGTTTTTAACCCTTCCCTTCTATCATCCTTAACGCCCATAGCAGTACCTAATGCTGAAAGAAGTGAACGTGCTGAACTTCTTCTAATATAATCATTATTAATAACAGAACAATATCCATTTGAATTGAAGTTGGGACTACTTGTTGTTAAATGATTATTGTTGTTGTTAGTGTTTTGATGGTTTTGGGCATTTGTCATTAGGGCAGCTGCTGCCTAGAAATTAAAATATTTTTAGAAGGAGAATAGTTTTAATTTTATATAATCCAATAATGGATAGAACTCAATTTAAATTTTTTTCAATTTCGGTAGTCAATGAGCGCGAAAAAATACTCAAGCACCCAAATATTGGGTACGCGTAATTTTACATACAATTTCCAGCCCAAAGGTGTATTTAAAATTGGGGTTTTGATTGTTTAATATTATAATTAGGGCTGTCAAAAACATGCAAACTTAAGAGTTTTAATTTTATATACCATCATAATGGATACTAATCCTGTTACTAATCAGGTCCCTTTCCTTTTCCTTTCACCTATTTTGGTTTTTTTTGTTTTGGACAGCCCTAATTACAATGAATTATTGTTTACGAAATTAATAAAAAAATTTGTCAATAATTCTAAAATATTCCTCCCAAGTCCAAACAATTAACTAATAAATAAACACCTGTGATTGTCTTCTTCTTTCAAGCACTTTTCTAATTGTTTCTCGAAATTGTGGATTAAAGAAGCTATAAATAATTGGGTTCCAAACAGCTTTAAATTAATTAAATTAAATATATTTTTATTTATTATTTAATTTAAAAATTACCGGAAGTCATAGCAATTGAATGGGAAGCTACAAAAATTAAAGAAAACCAGGCTGTATTTGCCCCACTTTCAATTGAAGTTTCTAATTGTTTTGTATTGTCTATATTAATTAATTCATCATCATTAACGCTATTTTCATTATTTAAATCTCTCCATAAATTAATTAAATTCATTGGAAGCCAAGCTAGAACTAGACCGGCAACCTTTAAAAACATTGATAAGAAAATTTCTGGTACTTTTCCGTTATTTGACCGAAAACATAGTGCCAACCGATTTTGATCGACCTTAACTTTTTAATGCTTGACCCAATACAAATGAATTTTATATCAATCGAAAGCCCTAAATAACCTGTATATTTTTTCTAATAGGATAGATCAGGTCTGTTAATTCATTAAAAAGTTATAGCTAGATAAGTTTAGTTATATGATGTTTTTCATACTTATCGAGTTATAACTTTTTAATGAGCGATCGGACCCGATCTATCAATTTGGAAAATAGATACCTCTTATCGAGGGCTTTCGAATGATATAAAATTCATTTATATAGGATCAAGCCTCAAAAGTTATAACCGATCAAAGTCGGCTAACACTAAGTTTGCGGTCGAATAACGGAAAAGTACCTAAATTTCTTTTTTCCCTTACCATAGTGGCCATCATTAAATTTGTTTTACTTTTTTGACTCTTCATTCTATCCTTACTTTCCTGTAAAATAACCATTTGCCTTTCACTTCTTCGACGCATTTGAAGGCGAATTAATTGGCCTAGAATTGAATAATTATTGACTGATCAGATTTTTAATTTACCAATTTGCCAATAACACAAAGTTGAAATTAATACAGGCAATCCAAATTGAACAATTAAAACTAAAATTCCATAAAATTTTCTTAAACGACTTCTGCCCGATTGTGTATCTGTGTCTGGCCTAGAAAATTAATTTTTTGAAATTTTTAAAAAATAATTTGGTTATTTACCAATTTTCTTCACAAAATTGACCACAGAAAGGGGAATATTCAACTGTAGAAGAAAATATACCAACAGGCATTGCACAGGCGTAACCAAGAACCCAAAGTGAAGCTACTATTGAAAGTGCCGTTCGAAATTTAATTTTCTGAAAAAATATTTTTAATTTCTAAATGAAATTATCTATAAATTAAAGACTCAACAAATTAATTAACAAATTAGGAACTTTTCTGTTATTTAGCCGCAAACTGAGTGGCAACCGGATTTGATCGGTTATAACTTTTTGAGGCTTGAAGTAATAAAATAGTATTAATAATAATAATAATAATTTAACACAAATAATTCATTATTAATAATTTATTATTATTTTCATTATTATTAACACTAATAATGAAAATAGTGTTAATGCTGATGAATTAATTAATATAGATAATACAAAACAATTAGAAACTTCAATTGAAAGTGGGACTTATCGGGTTAAACAAATGAATTTTACAACATTCGAAAGCCCTCAATAAGAGGTATATATTTTCCAAATTGATGGATCAGGTTTGATCGCTCATTAAAAATTTATAACTCGATAAATCTGAAAAACATCAAATAGATTGTCTTATCGGATTATAACTTTTTAATGACTTATCAGATTTCATCTAACCTATTAGAAAAAATATACAGGTTATCGAGGGCTTTCGATTGATATAAAATTCATTTGTTTTGGATCAAGCATTGAAAAGTTAAAGTCTATCAAAATCGGTTGGCACTCAGTTTGCGGGCATATAACGGAAAAGTACTACAAATTATTTGTAAAAATATTTTACTTGTTTAGTTGGATGCTTAATAAGAATATAACGATCTACAGCAATTGCAGTTAATGTAAAACTTGAAACAAAAACAGCACCTCCCTTTAAAATAAAATTTAAATAATAATAATAATTATTATTTATTTTACCTGAAATATTCCCATTAATTTACAAAAAAATGTTGGGAAAACCCAATCCCTAGTAAATATTGAAACTGCAGTTATTGGAAGACTAGTCATTGACATTAAAATATCCGAGGCTGCCAAACTGCAAATAAATACTGAACGAACTGAGGAAAGTTGAACCTTAAATGGGAATTTAAAAAATATAATAAATTAGAGGTGGATCTTGATTTTTCATAAATCTTGGGAGTGAAAAGTGTATATAAAATCGAGTAAATTGAGGGAATTAGGAAGACCAGCCCACTCTCCAAGGATCAACCCGATTTAAAAAAAAGTGTCTTAAAATGGGGTTATTTTTTGTTGGATGAATCCAAATCGGAATGTATTTATTGTAAAACATAAGTTAATCTTTGAAAGAATGATAGAAATTTTGAAGAAATAATTTATAATCAGCTTTGAATAATAATTTTTTGTGTATTTAAATAAGGGTAGCACCCCGTCCCCCGAAACCCCGACCCGACGAATTTTTAGGCAAAAACCCCGACCCGAACCCGGCAAACTCCGAAACCCGACACTCCCGCTCCTTAAAGCTCGGGGTGCTACCATAATTTAACTTAATAATTCATTTATTTAAAAAATTACTTGTTTAAGGGAAACAACATACAAAACAGAAACATTGCCAAGAATGGCAGCTAACCAAATGATTAAATACAAAAAAGAAAAAATTAATTGTACAGGCAAAAGGTCAACCATTTCAGGAAAACTTGACTTTAAAACATTATTTGTTTTTATTTTTATTTTTTTAGTTTCACTTGAATTGGAAGGCATTGATTATTGTTTGGGATTGGATGTTTTCTCCAAAGAAAATGAGGCCATACATTAGCATTAACTAATTTAACTGGCCATTCTGAGGGGGGAATTAAATTATCTGAAAAATGTTGTTGTTGTAATTGTCTTTGGTTTTGGTGGTTATTATCGTCATTATTTAAAGAAATTTGAGAATAAAAATCCATTTTTAATAATTCTAAATAATTAAAAAAAGAAATTTTTTTAATTACTTAAATGCTATTAGGTAGCGTCATAATTAGTGGCCGTTTTATTAGATTAAATTTTAAAAAGTGTTGTTTTAAAAATTTTCTTTTTCATTATCAATAAACATATAGATCTGAATCTACTCTTCATTTTTATACCTGGTATAGCTATATACGGGTGATATGCTTAAAGTTACGATCTTTTGAACTTCACTACCTCGTAGTGAAATTCACAATCATCACTACTTATGACGCGACCTAATATAATTTTTTAAATTTATTTTTAAATAACAAAAAAATTTATTTAAAAATAAATATTTCTATTTCTAACTACACAATAGACAAAAATAATTTTAAATAACATAAATATATTTGCTATTTTTATTTAATAGAAAATTAGCAAAGATTTTTCATTGTTTTAAATAAAAATAAAAAAAATATTCTGCAAAATAAACAAAAGAAAATAAAATAGAAAAAATAAAGGTGTGGGGGTTTTAAATATTTGGAGAGCTACAGGGGAGGGGAGGGGTGCTACAACAATTAATTAAGTTTTTAAATTAGTAAGAGGAAAAGAAAGCAAGTTTCGAGAGGTTTTTAAATAAATATATAATTAATTTAAAAATATAATTTTTGGTACAACAAAAATTAAATTAGGTAACTCGAAGCTAAAAATTATTTTTGAATGATTTTTTGATCTTATTTAAATGCTAATTTTTAGCACGAAATGTTAAAATAATAGCTAATTTAATTCTTTTTTTTGTAAATTAAAATTAATTCTAAAAATATTTTAATTTATTTTAAGAAAATTAAAGTAATATTTATTTGTCTACAGAAAAGAGAGTTTATTAAATTATAAAAAAAAATTTTTTAATTTTAAGTTTTTAAATAAAAATAATTTTATTTAAAAAAAGATTAAGAAAATTTATATTACAAAGAATTAATTAAAATATCAAAAAATCTTTTAAAAACTTTAAAAAAATAATTTTCTTTTAAGAAAATCAAAAGTTTATTCAAGCAGATTAAAATTAAATCTTTTAAAATTTTTAAAAAATTAATTGAAATGGAAATTTTAAATTAAATCCGTCGTCAATATAAATATTTATACTTAAATATGTACTTACTTTTCGTTAGAAAAAATTGCAAAAAGTTTAGAAAAGTGGAAAATTAAAATTAATTTTCTCACGTAAAATGTTTAATAATTAATATTAATAATTAATTTTTTAATTAAATACCTATTATTTTTAAATAAAATTTTTTAATTATAATTTAAAAAATAAGGGGAAAAAAATAAAAATTAAAAAGATTTGTATGTATTAATTAACAAGAAGATCTTTAATCTAGATATAACTAATTTTAAAAAATCTGTCAAATTAAATGGATTAGGCTTATTTGAAAATTAATGTAGATAATTTTTCATTATATATTTTAAATAGAGTTGGGGGCCGGTTCGGTTCAAAAAATCAAACCGGGCCTTGAATTTTTGCCCGAAAATTACTCGAACATCGGACCGGTTCGAAAAACCCAACACTAATTTTAAAGACGAATTAAATAATAAAAAAGGCAATTTACATCTTAAAAATATTTTTGAAACTAGTGTTAAATTAAAATTTTATTAAACTTTCTGTTTTGTCATAAAATTAACAAAGATTTTCTCGACAAAATTTTTATTTTATTTTTAGGTCTAAAAATAAGAAAAATTTATTTTAATTCTAAATAAAAAAACCAAAAAAAGTAAGAGAAATAATAATTTTTGATAATAATCCAGGGCTCTCATTCGTGCTTTATTTGAAAGTATTATACTTTGAAACCGACCTCCATACTTAAGAAATTGAATTTATACTTTATTGAAAGTATATACTTTAAAATCAACATTTTGGATTGAAAATGAAATTGGGGAAGGGATTGGGCAAAAAAGTGAATTTTTTAGCCTTGGGCCTTCTAAAATTTCAAAAAATTTTCGCCTGCGGCGCTGAAAAAGAAAGAAATCTGGCTTCTTGGGCTCCAAATTTCAAAAAATTTTCGACTGCGGTGCTGAAAAAGTGAATTTTTTTGCCTACGGCCTTCTAAAATTTCAAAAAATTTTCGCCTGCGGCGCTGAAAATGGACGAAAGTAATTTGCTTGAGGTTAAGACTGTCAGGGCTTTATTTCTTGTATCAGCGAATTTCGACATGTCATGCGTTGAAATGCACAAAATGCTCAGTGGAAGCAAGAAATTATTAGAAAAGATTCATTTAAGAGAGAAATATAAAAGATTTGAGCACGAACAAATATTTTCCAATTTAATTTTGAGTATACTTTAAATTTGGAAATTTTCTCCCTATATACTTTTTTATCAAGATTTTGATACTTTTGAGTGGCATTTTGTCGATGAGAGCCCTGTAATAATCAAAAATCTAATTTTTTTTCAAGTTAATTAATCAAAATTCCATCTAAAAATGATTAAATTAATTTTCTATTAAATATCATTTTTATTTTAAAGAAAAATGTAATAAATTAATCGCGCAATAAAATGATAAAAAAGACACAAATTTCTTCAATTTTTCCCCCAAAAAAGTAATTATTACTTTTCTTATAATCAATAAAATAGTTAAAAAGTAAATATTAAATTATTTCACTTGCCTATCCCAATTAGAATTGCATGAAACTATTAAAAATAGAAGAAAAAAGTAAAAGGAATATTTAATGTATTGTTTGATACTTTTTATATTTATTTCTATTTAAATTGTTTTAAAAATAAATAAAATATTTTCAGGTGTTAATAGATTAAAATAATATGAGATATCGATAAAAATAAAATTAGAATGAATTTATGTGGGAGCAGGCCAACTTACCGCGAGCCCAACTTACCGCAGAGCTATAACTTCGTTCAGAATTGCCGAATCCGGTACGCCTTGGTATGATTCGATGCGTCTCGGCGAGCTGAATCGAACTATACCAGGGTGCCCCGGATTCGACAATTCTGAACGAAGTTATAGCTCTGCGACGAGTTGGGCTCGCGGTAAGTTGGGGTGTACCCGAATTTATGTAAATAAAAGGGCAGAGGATTAAAAATAGATAAATAAAGTTGAGGAGAATTATTTAGTAGGTATAAGAACTTGTTTTTAGTAGAAAGGATCGGGCTTTTAATGAAATGAAAATTTTAGCCTTGATCAAGTTCGGCGTAAAATATGTTTAAACCCGATATTCAGGTTAGTGCCAGTATAAGAAAAATATTTTAGAGGAAATGCTAAATTAAATTGGAGAACTTTCTTAGATAAGTTTAACGGCAGAGATTGGACAGATGGAGAAAAAAGTCGGGTTTTGGGAACCCGTCCCATCATTGGTTGGCAGCAGATGTGGGTCGGAACAGTCAGAGATGTCGGAAATCGGGAGAGCCGGAAATCGGAACTGTCTCAAAAGTCGGAACTCAGAATTCCGACCCACCTCTGGTTGGCAGTCTTAAAAACTAACGGGATATTCTGAATGTTGTCTAAAATAATATTTAATAAATAAACAAAAAGCTATTAAATATTTAAAAATAAAAAAAAACAAAAATAAATAATATCCTCTATATTATCATAAAAAATTATTTTTCACAAAATAATATTCAGTGTTTATTTATTTAATCCTAAAAATAATTCTGCCGCCTCCTCAAAACTTTCTATTTTTAATTATTATGAAAAGAATAAATATATTCTGCTATTAGAAAAAAATATTAATTTAAAAAATAATAAAAACAATAAAGAAGAAGAAAAATAAATAATTATTTTAATTTTAAAAAACAATTTTAAAAATCAAGGGAAATACCAAGGCTGGTTCCTCCTTTTTTTATGTTTCCCTGACCATTTTGAGCTTTTTTGTTTGACATATAATAATTTATATATCATTAGAAAGAGCTGTCCGAGCTGGGTAGATTGATACTATGATTGATTAGGTTTGGCGATTCTGAACAGAATTATGAGCTAAATCCTCGATCGACATGCTTTTTGTGATGTTGAAAGGGATTAAAATAGAAGCTCGTTACTATGTGGATTTAAGACGGATTTCGATGATTTTAGTACCGTCGACTCAACTCGAAGAGCTCTTTCGAATGGATATAATTTGCCAAAGAAAATGAAAAAAATAAACTGAAAAAAAGGGGAGACCAGCCTTGGTATTACATAATTAAGATTTAAAAGATCAAAAAATATTGTCTATATTTTAGAATATTTAATTAAAAATTAATAATTTAAAAAAAGAAGACAAAAAAATTAAAGAATAGATATGTAAAAAAAATATATTTAAAGACTATTACCAATAAAAATATTTAGAATATTCCATTTACGTCTACTTTTTCTCTCCCATTACTTTTTTTGGTTACATAAATATCCTTCTAAGAAATATATTTTAGAAAAGCCTCTCTTCTTCTCCTTTTAATAAGTTGGAAAAGCCTTTACTTAGTAATTAAGCATTATTCTCCCCTTCTCTTTTTTTATTTGTTTAGAAAAAAACGGCGGAAAAGCGTGGTGTTTTCAGGGAAACCTTCTCGTCTTTTAAAAATCCATTTTTCTTTGAGTTTTAAGTTTGTTTTGGGTTCCGTATCCGCAGCAGGGCTGGACGCAATTGCGAATTGCGGTTGCGAATTTTTTTTTTCAATTGCGTCCAGTCCTGATCAGTAGGCTCCGAAACCCCAAAAACTGTTTGGAATTTAAGTTAAACTCGAAACCAAAGAAAGATGGAATTTGCTGATGAAAGGACATATTTCCCCTTCGACATTTATAATGCAAATACCAACTAATTTGAAAGATCAACTAATTTAACTAATTTAATAAATTTTTGTGATTTTTTTAAAATTAAGATAAGGTAAATAATAAAATACAGGCAAATTGTTTTGAGTGTGGAAATTATTTTTTTGTTCATTATACTCCATTAGAAATGTATTTGATCTTTATTATAATATGTAAAATAATTGGCTTTTAAATAAAAATTTATTTAAATTAATTAAAAATTAATCTTTAGAAA